ATTGGAAATGGCATGAACACCTCGACGATACCTACTTACCAGGCCGAATGCTCGCGTACCTCCAATCGCGGTCTGCTCATCTGTATTGAAGGTAGCACCGTTGCCATTGGGACTCTTATCTCCTACTGGGTAAACTTTGGCTGCATGTATGGACCACCGGACCTCACTTGGCGGTTCCCCATTGCATTCCAGTGTGTGTTCGGTCTCATCATCATCGGCACTATGTGGTTCCTTCCCGAGTCACCGCGCTGGCTCTTCACCCAAGAGCGATATGAGGAGGGCGAAGAGGTCATCGCTGCCCTCCAGGGCAAGCCAGTCAACCATCACGACGTGCAGCTGCAGAAGAACATTATCATGGACTCGCTACGTGCTTCGGGCATGATGGGGGGCGGCAGCACGCCCCTGTCAGCGGTGTTCACCGGCGGCAAGACGCAGCACTGTCGCCGCATGTTGTTGGGCGCGTCATCGCAATTCTTCCAGCAAATTGGCGGCTGCAACGCAGTCATATATTACCTACCGGTGCTGTTCAAGAAGTCGCTTGGTCAGACCGAGTTCTTGTCCATGATCCTGGGTGGTGTCAACATGATCGTGTACTCGATATTCGCCTGCTCGTCCTGGTTTCTGATCTCCTACGTGGGCCGCCGCCGCCTCTTCCTAGTGGGAGCCGCCGTCCAAAGCCTGTCCATGGTGCTCACCTTTGCCTGCTTAATTCCCGGAGGCACAGAGCCGGCCAAGGGCGCTGCCGTGGGCTTGTTCACCTTCATCGCGGCGTTCGGCGCTACCTGGCTGCCACTACCATGGCTGTATCCGGCGGAGATCTCCCCAATCAAAACACGAGCCAAGGCGAATGCCATCTCGACGTGCACCAACTGGACCTTCAACTTCCTCATCGTGATGGTGACGCCTATCATGATTCGCGACATTAGCTGGGGGACGTACCTCTTTTTCGGCGCCATCAATGCAAGCTTCGTGCCGTTTATCTACTTCCTGTATCCGGAGACGGCGGGCCGCAGTTTGGAAGAGATTGACCTGATCTTCGCCAAGGGGTACTTGGAGAAAATGAGCTACGTTCGCGCGGCGAAGGAGCTGCCGCAATTGTCGGATGAAGACATCGAGCGCGTCGCCCTGGAATTCGGATTCGGCGGGTCGGGCAGCGAGACAACGGCCAAGGCCGGCGGTGACAGCAGTACGGAGTCGAATGGGGGGTCAGGAGAGGCCGAGAAGGTTTAGCCATCGGTTGATATCTCTGTTAAGATCTAATTATCGGGTTCAAATTGACGTTATGCCATGCCGATGGATCATGGAATATAGACCGCTTGTGTATCATATTATATTCCACCGCTATTCAATCTGCAGCAGACTATTTTTTCTGGCCAATGACTGACCAAATGACACTGTTGATGGACCATCAGGGGACGCTATCGGGACTCGATGAGGAAGCAGGGATCGAGAGAGGATGTATTGGGCAAGAGCGAGAATCGATGATGGTTCCCTCTCATCATGGCGGGCCGTAAAAATGTCTTTCGATATCGAGATCACTTTGTTTCGTGGTGTGTATCACTCATCATTCTTCCGTTCGAACAAGATAATTTATATTACTACTATATTACTACAAGATGGCTCACCTTATCGGAGCTGACCCTTTCAATTCCGGCTTCGACGCTCTCGTCGAGGAACAACTGGCAAGGTGGCACATCCCAGGGATCAGCATCGGTGTGGTAAATGGCCATAAAAACTATTTCAAGGTACCCCTATCTTCCATTCCTGGCCCAGAACCTATGAAATAACGACGTATATAGCAGTACGGCTTTGCCAGGCTGCCCGACAAACCCATGAGAGCACACACTCTCTTCCCCACCAGCGGCACCACCAAGAGCTTTACCGCAGCGATCATGGCAACGGTCATCGATGACCCCAGAAAAGTACGCGATGACCTGAGCAACGTACGGGGCCCCGTTCAGTGGAATACGCCTATCGCGACGCGGATACCCGCCCATTTTGTTCTCTCTGACGAGCACGCTACCACCGTTACCACCATTGAGGATGCCTTGTCCCATCGCAGCGGACTCCCAAACCTGCAGCTCGCCGAGGCCCTACGCAATCCTGCTCTGATTATCGAGGACCTGGTCCGTCTTCTACGGCATATTCCACTCGCACCTGATCCAGATCACCGACGCTTCGAGTACTCCAACGAGTCCTATCAGGTCATCTCTCACCTTCTCCAGCGAGTGACAGAAACGCCGTTAGAGGACCTCCTACGTACGGAAATTTGGCGTCCGCTCAACATGGACAGCACCTACTTCTCGATTGATGACGTCAAGCTCAGCCAGAATCCCGTCGATCGACTGGTCCAAGGCTACACCTGGAATGAAAGATCTCGACAATACATCCCCGAAGACTATAGGTACTGCGCTGCCACTAGTGGTGCTGGCGCCATGGTCAGCTCGGCCACGGACTACGCCAAGTGGCTGCGCTGTTTGCTTTTCGAGTCGTCGCCGCTCTCCCCAGCCGTGCACCGCGCCATCAAGTTCCCCCGCATCATTGTCGAGCGCGGGACGGCCTTCGACCACTTCCTCACACCCGAGCAGTCCTACCACCTATATACGCTCGGCTGGTTCCTTGACAGCTACCGGGGGTGCCGCTGTACTGGCACACTGGCAGTCAGCTCGGCGCCGCCGTCATCGTAGGCTTTCTTCCGTCGCTCAAATTCGGGTTCACAATCATGGCCAACACGCAGCCCATGCGATACACCCAGATGGTACTCTGTGCATTCATTCCTTCTGGACCGTCGCCTTGGTGTCGCCAACCCAGCCAATTCGATGATCCGATTCGTCGATAAAGCCATGAGAGAGGCCAGTCAAAAAGCGCCCAACCACTTGGCCCGTGTCGAGCACCCACTTCCTCCCTCGCTGCCCTTGGACCAATATGGGGGCACTTACCAGCACCCCGGGTTCGGGAAGATCACTCTCACGGGCAAGAACGGCGCCCTCCACTCGGACCTGACGGATCGCATCTGCCGGTCTCTCATCCGATTGAACCCCCTCTCGGGGGAGTTCTTTATCGCGAAACAGTCAACGGTGAGCGGTCGATGGGCAAGCTTCGACTCGGCACTCGTGGAGTTTGAGGTCGGGCTCGAGGGGATCGCGGAGCGTATGGCGATCCATTCGCCTACCTTTCCGGGGAAGAAGGTCTGGTTTGCCCGGATGGAAGAGGGGCCTTTTAGATACCACCATCGCTAGTCCTCTTGCTCGAGATTCGTTGGTCGAGTCGATCGCCAGTCTCCCACTCGCTGGTCTAAATATCGCTATTGCGTTAGGTCGAAGTGCTTGGGATTGATCAATAACAAGTTGCTTTCGTTCAATAGTCCGATTTATAGTCGAATGTCTGGAAATCACATTCAATGCGTAGTAGACTATCCACGACTGTATGACCCTGACACTAAATCACGTATCACCTACCCACAGACCCACAAATTGTAGAGCACCAAGATCACACAAGATCGTCTCCCAAACAGCCTTGTAAAAGCTAATTAAAGAAAAAATTGTATATAATTGAACAGTATATATAGATAGACGCAGGACCCTGGCCCCCACGCTGAGCAAAACCTACGGCCTGGCCAATCAGGGGATGCTTACTGGGGGGGAGATGGGGCGTCGAATGCGCCTTGGCTTTGGAATAGGTTTAGTGGGGTTTGAAAGGGGGAGGGATCAGCGGTGGGGTGGTAGAGATGGCTGTGATGAAGATGACGATGGTGATTATGGTTCTGGTTCTGGTTGTTGGTTATGGCTGAGTGTATGGTCTATTTAAAGGACTGAGGAACTTCTTCAGGCTTGAGCTTTAAATTCTTGCATTATTCCTGCTCACATCTTACTACACCACTACTGCCCTGCTGGCAAAACTTCTTTCATATATATATTGGCATATTGAAATAATTGATTGAATGATTGATTGACATGGCCACCTCCACCACATACTACGGCCCCGGGGGCATCCCCGGCTTCTACGGCGCCGCGTCTACCCAACAAAGCGACCCCATCCCATATCTCCCAAACTACATCGCTTCATGTGAACAACAACAACAACAACAACAACAACAACAACAACAACAACAGCCACAGCAACAACAATCCCAATCTGGTGCATCCACAACCCACCCCTACAGCCCCGACTCCTACCCGACCCAGTTCCCGATCATGATCCAGCCGGATACCCCCTCTACCTCCTTTGGGCAAAGGTCAGGGCCGGAGTCAGTGGCAGAGCTGAAACCTGGGCAGCAAGACGAGCGCGGACTAAACCCCATCATGCAAAAGGTAGCAGGCACGTTTGGTGTCGTGGGGGGTAAAGATGCCGGGACGGCGGAGTTGTTGTTTATGTTGGGGAAGAAGGCGTATGTTTCCCTTGATTTTGTTTCGTCTTCTGTTTCTTTTGTCGGAGTCGACACTGACGCTTTAATTGATATGAAGGTTTAAAAAAGCAATAGAAGCTAGGCCAGCCCGTGCGAGGAATAGTGCTATCATTAGCAGCAGCAGCAGCAGCAGCAGGAGCAACACCTCGCAGAACTGGCAGACACTTGCGGATACAATCGAACCCGCTGATCATGCCAAGGGGGAGGATAAAGTACACGAGTGAGGATTATACCGATGTTGGGGGGATGAAGAAGGGGAAAGTTTGAGGGATCTGTTAGGGTTTTAGCTGTCCGACGGTCGGATTTGTTTCTTGGTTGGGCCGGCCTCTTGTTATATTTTAGCGTCATGTTATATACCCGAAGAATTGGTTCTTCTGTTCTGATGTATTGCTGGGCTGGTAGAACTAGACTGGTATATCTCGTGGGGTGTTCTGTTGATATGACACAGGATATTTAGACACGTAAGGGTCGTTAATTAGGGCTGGCCGATCTCGTGACCCCCACGCGTGGTATACATACCATCCTTGCCTTCTATGACTAGACATTGGTTTTGATGTCTTGGTATAGTACCGTTATCGACGGGAAACATACCCAATCACTCTTCCAACCGCCTCCCCCCAACATCAATACCCACCTTATAATCCTCGAACTTCCGACTCGGCACCTTCCGCTCAAACAGAACATCCAGCTCCCCGAACGTACGCCCTCTCGTCTCAGGCAAACACCAGTAGCAGTACACGGCACACAGAAAACTCAGTCCCGAGAACAGAAACCCGATCTTCCCGCGCCAGTTGCCCTGGTCCGCGTTCATCGCATACGGAATGACGACCGTGAACACAATCGACCACACGAAGCACGTCACCGTCGCCAGGGCGATTGTCAACCCGCGCAGTCGCACGGACGACACCTCCGCGAGAAGCACGTAGCAGAATGGCCCGAGGCTGAGGTCGTAGACGAATGTACACGCGACCATCAGTCCGCACTGCGCCCAGGTGCCGCTACCGCTCCGCGAAGATACGTCCACTGCGCCGATGGCGAACTGCAAGACGGCGAGCGCGGAGCATCCGATGAGGTACATTGTGCGTCGACCGACCCGCGGGAGTAACGTCCACGAGATGCATGTCCCTGCTAGACCTAAGGCTGTTAGGCCAAGATTCATGGAAAAGGCGTCCGAGGAGTCCAGTCCTGCGAGCTCCATGAAGTGGACGGCGTAGCTGATGAAGAATACGTTGCCGGTCCATGCCTGCATGTCGTATGCCATCACGCAGATGACAAGGCGGCGGAGGTCGGCGCCTCGGAGACAGTCGAGGTAGCTGGGGCGGTGGTTGCTCTGGCTTAGACTTTCCTCAAGGCGGAGTGTCTCGCGGATGTGGGCCAGCTTCTTCGTCACGTCAACGTTGGACGCCGCGAGACGGCGCAGGGAGGAGATAGCTGCGGCGGTGTCGTCGGGAGTGCGACGGCAAAGCCAGTAGGGCGGGTCGGGGCAGAACCCTACCAGGGCGAGCACGACGGCGGGGAGAACCCATTGCGTCGCGATGGGGATCTTGTAGGACCAGTATGAGGCCATGGACTCGGTGCCCTTGAGGATGCCCGACGCGACAAGCGACCCAATTGAAAAGCCTAAGTTTGTCATAGTGGCGGCGAAGCCGCGGAGAGCGAGCGGCGTGACCTCGGCGACATAGGCGGAGGCGCAGATGGGGTAGAAGGCGATGATGCAGCCGTTTACGAGCTCACCGACAAACAGCTGCGCCGGGGTGCGACTGAAGAACTGGATAAAGATGAATGCGATGGAGCAGACACAACAGACGGCGATCATGACGCGCGGACCAAACCGTTCGTAGGCCACGCCTGACAGTAGTGCACCAACGATGGCCCCCAACAGGTTGGCGTAGTTGAAGGCTGATAGCCATTGAGCTGCGATGAGGTACTCGCCGTTGCGCTCGTAGCCGTACTTCTCTTTAAAAATTGGTAGTCCGACAAGGCTGCGCACGACTCCGCCGTCAATACCCTTGAGAACGGTGGCCAGGTTCATGAAGAGTCCCCAGCCGATGGCCGGCCAGTACAGCACCATAGCCTCCCGCCATCCCTGTGCATGCTCCTCCTTGGTGAACTGGAAAGACAGTTCGGCTTCATCGCTTCTGTCAGCGGGAAGGGCCTGCACCAGAACTTCCTTTTCTGGCATTCCAGACTTCTTGCTGATTCCTTCAGTACTAAGATGTAACACACTATCGTATGTATTCGGTGTTTCAGCCGATATAAACAGAAAAACATAGGATCCACATATTTGGCAGGCTTGGCACGGTGGGGTCCAATCATGCCGCGTTCATTAATCATGAAAGTGTATTTGTGTGTGAACAGAAGAGGGGTATCCCCATTTATCACGCAGCCCTCGATAGGACTTCATGCCCTGGGACCATTCCGCCGAACACCTGCATCCCAAGGGACTGCTTGGAGGCCGTCCCGATCCCGAAGACAGGGCGGAATGCCCCAGGCCCGGGTGGAGCTAACCCCCGCATTGCATCATTTATATAATCGGAGCTCAAATATCCTCCGGATCGTCACGGGGACAGTAGAGGAAACTCGCTGGAGTCATACTAGTGAGAGGCCAGGAACTAGCCAACCACAGATCCGGGAAGTTCATTCCCTGCAGAGTGTCTATAGACCATTATCGACAGGGTGCTCACTGCCACACCCAAACGGGGCGCCGAGCTAAGCCCGCTACTGTCACTGGAAAACCAAATGCCGGTAGAAGGCGTATCGTCATGGTCATAGTATAATTCTTTGCGATAAACCTTCAACAAACACCTCAGATTACGAGGCTAGCCTAGAAACGTCATTAGTGTGTGATCCCGATACGTACAAGTCCCCGCTTAAGGGGCAAGGCTGCCATTCAACGAGGGGAGAGAAAGAGGGGCACGAATTTATAAAGGCCATTGTGTGCTTTCTTAGTCCTCACTGACCAGTTCACCCTCACTGATCTTGCCAAAATGTCTCTTGACACTACAACTTTCCGCAACGTCATCAATAACGAGTTGACTACCACCGCGGAAACGCGCCATGGTATTAACCCGGCCAACCGCCAGCCTAACCCCGAAGTGCCTGTGAGCACGGCAGCGGACCTTGACCGGGCCGTTGACTGCGCCCGCGATGCCTTCGCCAAATGGTCGCGCACCAGCGTCGAGGAGCGCCGCGCAGCCATCCAGGGCTTTGCGGGGGCCATCCAGGCTAACCAGGCCGCCCTCGCCGCGCTTCTCACGCAGGAGCAGGGCAAGCCACTTGACCAGGCAAACGTAGAGGTTGCCATGACATTGAAGTGGTGCGAGGGGCTCAGCTCGCTAGAGCTCCCGCAGACGGTCCTAGAAGAAACAGAGAACCGCAAGGTCATCCATCGATATGTGCCCCTCGGCGTTTGCGGTGGCATCGTGCCCTGGAATTTCCCCGTCTTGCTCGCTGTGGGCAAAATCATCCCCGCGGTGTACACGGGTAACGTCATAATCGTCAAGCCGAGTCCCTTCACCCCCTACTGCGATCTCAAGCTCGGCGAATTGGCCGCGCGCTTCTTCCCGCCCGGTGTCGTCCAGGTGCTGAGCGGTGGCGATGACCTCGGTCCCATGCTCACCGAGCATCCTGGCATCGATAAGATCAGCTTTACCGGGTCAAGCTTGACAGGAAAGCGTGTGATGGCTAGCTGTGCCAAGACACTCAAGCGTGTCACGCTTGAGTTGGGCGGGAACGACCCAGCCATCATCTGCGATGACGTCGATATTGCCGCCATTATTCCCAAGGTAGAAACCCACTCCCCTCTGCATACATACATATATAGAAGATCAAAAGTAACCAAGTCTCGGAATGCAGATTGCCACCCTCTGCTTCCTCAACGCGTCGCAGATCTGCATGATGGTGAAGCGGCTGTACGTGCACGAGAAGATTTACGACACGTTCCGCGACCAACTGGTGGCATTTGTGCAAAATTACAAAGTCGGGAAGGGCACTGAACCAGGCGTCTTCATCGGACCCATCCAGAACAGCATGCAGTTCGACAAGGCCAAGGAGATGTTCAAGAGTGTCGCGGCCGACGGACTCAAAGCGGCTGTGGGCGGTGTCATCACCGACTCGGACGGCTACTTCGTGCAACCGACCATCATCGACAATCCACCAGACTCGGCGCGAATCGTGCGCGAGGAACCCTTCGCTCCGATCATGCCCATTCTCAAGTGGTCCGACGAGGAGGACGTGCTGCGGCGCGCCAACGACTCGGAGAGTGGCCTGGGCGCGTCCGTCTGGTCCCGTGATCTGGAGAAGGCGCAACGAATGGCCGATAGACTGCAGGCGGGCAGTGTTTGGGTCAATACGCACTTTGAATTGGAGCCGGGGATGCCGTTCGGAGGACACAAGACGAGTGGCATTGGGACGGAGTGGGGAGTCAGTGGGCTGATGCAGCATTGCAATAGCCAAACCATGTGGATCAAGAAGAATCCATGATTGTATATAACGTTAAATGAGAATATTAGCGCCCTGTCCACCAAACTTGGTGACTGGAGAAGCAAAGAAGACGAATCTGAATAAACGAAGAAATCGTAGAAAAAAGCCCGGTAACGTGACGCTGGCACGTGGTCTGTCACCTGATCTCCGACTATTCGATATTGTACCTGCAGTTTTTCTTCTCCGAGTCAACTTCTTGTCATCAACATCTTCTCCCATACGAAGGAACTATTTCGATTGGATGCATTAGTAGCAGACGCCTTCATATACAATAGAAGACCGACCGTGAATATCACAAGACATCTTCGGATGCGGTTTTTATCGCCCAGCTATCCATTCATGTTTCTCACTCCATGAGCTCCGGGAGCAGTTCTGTGCCTCTGTGGCCGAGAATAAATGGCGATAATCACGAGTTCTTGGAGCTGGGCGCCGGTGACTTGACTTGATATAAAAACCCGACACTTCTGGAAAGGCACGATTGATTTCGGTTCTAGAGCCCATGCGGGATATGCAGTACCCTATGAAAACTGAATGCATATTGGGTGATTATTCGTTATCAAGCATCGCCTGACAGGTCGCCGTCGGCAGCAGGCTTGACAGAACCTTTAGTTTACAAATACACAATTTAAAATGTTGACGATACTGCAGCTGTCGTCTTACATCGGTGTGCTATGTCCTGCCTCAACGCAAACCTACACGTTAAGAATGCGATATGGTATCATTTGGAGATATAAAACGACCAATGCCCTAAATGATCGGGACGACACGATTATTTGGTCGGTTTGCCGCTTCATCCATAATTTGTGTGTTCCCTAATGAAAGCGGCCTACTGGATGGCATCCAAAGCCTTGTTACCCGACAGCACAGTAACTACCAGGTGTCCCTTTCGAACCCCACATAAACAAATTTGCCAGTGATGTCACTGACGAAAGGGGTTTGGGTGGACCAAGTTATCTGTGCGAAAAGGTTCCTTTTGAATCCAATTAAAGCGCTGAAAAATATCCTCGGGGATCGGTGGTCGGTCCCTGACGAACCAACAGTGGCCGAAATGCCGACTTTCATATCCGGTCCAATGCCAACCCCAGAAAATAACCCCAGACTGAGCGATAAGCAGGCGGACTTCCCCGTCTGCCCAACCTCGGATCGAGGTGTGGGTCGATGTGTGGGGAACCCCGCAGCCAATGAAGCTATCGGGAGCGAGCTACGGATCCTGCGCCGCCCTGCCCGAGTCCAGATTATAATCGCATGGATGTCCTCGTCTCTCAAGTGTCAATATCGTGGACTGTATAATTGTGTCGGTAACCAAGATGGCAAGCTATTCTCCCTATCCAGAGGTCACCGTCCCCGAGACGGACCTGTGGAGTTTTCTTTTCCAGCGTCCCGAGCGGACGTTTCCCGACTCGAACGGTATGTTTGCCCATTGAACAGAAGAAAGAAAATGCAGGATACGAGACCGGCAAAGTCGAAACTCAAAAGGAACCCTCTGACAAGACTAGTAATATTGACCGATGTGGCCACGAACCGTTCCTACACCTTTTCCGACGCCCGCAAACTCTCCCTCAACTTTGGTCGCACGCTCCAATCTAAATTCAACTTTCGTAAAGGCGACGTGCTCAGCGCTGTCTCGGGCAACTGCATTGACCTACCCCCTATTATCTGGGGTGCTGTTTCAATCGGCGCGGTTGTCAGTCCTCTCAATCCGGGGTTCGGTGCCGCCGACCTGGTTCATTATTTCAAAGATGCGGGCACCAAAGCGGTCGTCACCCAAAAGGCGCAATATGAAGCCGTTTCAAAAGCTGCGCGGGACGCAGGACTCGGCCAGGACAGAATTATCGTCATCGACGATGCCGCACAGGACGTCTGGCAAGCCGACCCAGCCGCTATCCCCGATGCTGCCTTTGCGGGGCGACACAGTCCTCCAGTTACCAATCCCACGCAAGATCTGCTCTTTTTAGTTTACTCAAGCGGAACGACTGGGCTACCAAAGGGGGTGATGCTGTCGCACAAGAACGTTGTTGCAAATCTGGTGCAGGCGGCCGCCATTGACCGGTATGCCGATGGGAAAATGTTACTTGATCACACTGACAAGGCGCTTGCCTTTTTGCCTTTCTTCCACATTTATGGTGAGTGAGATTTCCGTCTCTTACCCCCCAAGTTGCATAGACGACCGCCATGCTAACAGCGTCAGGCATAACTGGTATCATCAGCGCCGGGCTCTTCCTTGGTCTTAACACCTTCGTGATGCCGCGCTTCGACCTTCAGACCATGTGCCAGACTGTCCACAACCACCGCATCACTTATGTATACGTTGTACCACCCGTTGCCCTCCAGCTGGCCCAGAATCCCCTCGTCGACAAGTACGACCTACGCTCTATCAAGTTGCTCAATTCCGCAGCGGCCCCACTTTCCGTGGAACTGATCCGTGCGCTGCACCAAAAGAGAGGCATCCCCATCCGACAGCAGTACGGCATGTCGGAGACAGCGCCATGCACGCACTCCCAGGTACATATCCCTCCCCATCCTTTGCACTATCAGAGCCAGCATCGTGTCGCTAACCCATGAAGACATACGATGAATCCAAGGAATACCCAGGCGCAGTGGGACGTCTTATCCCCAACGTGACGGCGAAGTTCGCGCCGATTGCAGGCGAGACGCGCCGCTCAGCGAAAGAGGGCGAGCTGTGGGTCAAGGGCCCCAATGTCTTCCTGGGCTACCACAACAACGCGGCGGCAACTACGGAGGCGTTTTCCGAGGACGGGTTCTACAAGACCGGAGACGTGGGATACGAGGACGACTACGGGAATTTCGTCATCACGGACCGCATCAAGGAGCTTATCAAGTATAACGGGTTCCAGGTGGCGCCAGCGGAGCTGGAGGGCCTTCTTCTGGGCCATCCGGCTGTGGGGGACTGCGCTGTGGTGGGTATCCCGAATGGGCAGGCCGGGTCGGAGGTCCCGCGCGCGTACGTCAAAGCTGCGAAGCCGGAGCTTCAAAATGAGGCTGTAGCGAGTGAGATTGTGGAGTTTGTAAAGGCCAAGGTGGTGAATTATAAGCAGTTGCGGGGCGGGGTGGTATTCATTGATGAGATCCCCCGGAATCCGTCTGGGAAGATCCTGCGGAGGGAGTTGAAGAAGATGTTCGCTAGTAAGATTTGAACTTGATATTGAATAGATATAGAGAATAGAATAGAATCTACGTGGAACGAAACTTTCCGATTGGGTGGTTGTATTTCAATGTCTTTACCGGGAGGTTCAAGAAGAAGCACACCCAGCGCAGATAGAGCTTCACAAGTATGAACTGGATAGAAGGGTAGATTTTCATCCAGGCGATGATACATCTTGGACAAACGGACATAGAATCCGGCAGTTGGCAAGAACCAAATTGTCAACAGCGCCTTACGAGAATATCCATGGATGGGGCAAGGTAAATCTCATCTCAAGACCGCTACGTCTCAAGGTGGACCAACGTTTGGTATAGGGCTTAATTTGACAGATATTCAAACAATTTATATTGGACAATAGGCACCTCCCTTGCCCTCTGCACTCCCACATTCCATCCTTTCAACAAATATTGAAAGATGAATGAACAGAGACATAACTAGAGAAACCGATCTGATCGCCGATCAACAAAATAACATACTGTGTATTGCATAAAGATGCAAGGGAAGAAGACAAACATCATTCTTCTTCATCAATTCTCCTTTTTTAACCCCTAACAAGGCTTATAGCAGACACCTTCCGGTTTTCAATCATGATTAAGTGATACACTAGAAGAACAGTATGCATTGAGCCATTGGCGGATCAGATCACTGCAGATGGATGCATGATTTGTGGCGCAGGCAGGCAATACTATCAAGGTAGCATGTCATATCGAGACAATAGTTGTCAATACACCGGGTCTAATGTCAATACCCCTGAATTCGGAGCATATTACATGTCAAATAGGAGCGCGGAGTAGTACTGTACTATGGAACACCCCTCGTACGACCTAATTATATCAGAGGAGCAAACAAGGAGGAAAAACACCCCGGTGTGCTGTCCCTTGCATGGCTTATATCTGATATGTCAAGAGCACAAAGCGGGTCAAGATTGCACGGAGCACTCCATGGGAGAACCCCCTACGATCCTGGGCTTTCAGAAATCAAGAGAGACGAGGAACATATATATTGACCCCAGGGCAGGCAATAGGGATTGAATGTACCATAACCAGCTCTTTACCATTGGCAGTCATTGCTCAGCTGCTTCACACAAAGATACAAGTCAGCCATGCATCTCTGGAAGTATATCGGATTGCTGGCGATGACACTGGCGTCGCCTACGGTGGCCGAGTACACCTTTGAGCAAGGAATGTCCGACATCCAGCTCATGACCAGCTCGATATACAAGGGTCGGAAGTCACTAGAGGCATATGATGGGGGCATATTCAGCGGCATGCAGCTGGTAAGCCATATCGTCACCGGCTATAACCACGCGACAGCCACCCAAGAAAACATTCGGCCATTCCGCAACTTCACCCAGGACGATGCGGCACAGGCCACTGTTCATGTTCAAGATATGATAGAAGCCATGACTGAAGGTCTTGGAGAAGGGCGTCAAAAGGTGTGATATCCTCCTGTTTTCACCATCTTCTCTAGTATTTTCAAGATCTTTGAAGAATAGCTAAGACATATGATGATACGATGATTAGGCCTCCGTTATCAAAAAAAATGGATTCGGATTCGTTGCAAGGGCGATGGTCCATACCATGGAGGACGAGAAAAACAATATGTTAGAGTTGATGAAAAGCAAGGCAGACGATGAAATGTACAAGACCTGCGAGTCGCATCTGAACCGATTGCATAAAGAATTTCGGGGCCTATTGGCTGATTTGCAGGACTGAGCCGGAGATTCGACGGGGTCACTTGCTCCTTGCATTTTGAGTGTCGATCGTGATTATACCTGGTTCTTTGCAGATATGTCCATCATTGGTTCTATCACAACGCACATGTTCAGATCTGTCACATAATTGCTCCTAGTTAGAGCCTCTTTCATCCGATAGGTGATGCAGGGTCGATACTTGGTGGTGGCTCTCAGGAGTGTACAAATAGTCGTTACTATCGTAGTCGAAGAATTTATTCATCTCTATTTCCCATTTCTGGAGGTTATATCAGTCCGGCCCATTGCTTCACGAATAGTCAACCTACCATAATGGCGTTAACACCAGCCACCCGCGGAGCCATCCTAGGTACTATCCGCCGCGATAGCGATATCACCTCCCCAAGCCAGCAACATGACAAAAAACCGATGTCCGGAGCCATAGAGCTAGGGACCGCGAAGGAGAAGGAGAAGCTATTCATGGAGATGCTGGTATACGTAGTCAATGGACTGTGGCGAGAAGTACAGAGCCTCTCCCACAGCCACAACCTGGGAAGTCATTTCGAGCGGCCGTCAGCCGCGCAAGGCACTTCAGTACCAACAATATCCGAGCAGAGGGAAATCGCCGAACAAGTTATGGCAGCTCTACCAAAGGGCAGCTCAGCTAGTTTTCTCGGTGAACTCGGTGTATCAAACCCACCAAACCAGTTATCTGCGCGACGAATCTGCCCGAGCGCAGGAGTTACCGCAGGAAGTGGTCCCGCCGATCGGCCACACAACGCCATGATCCAAGTCGCAAAGGGTCTCCCGACTAGCCTGGGGTCTGATGCAGAAGATATTTCCAGGACTTATCAGTCTAGGAGTAGCCAAGGAGGGAAAACGGAAGGCAGTCCAACGGTAAGGTGCTCTTTAATGTATAGCGTTGCGCGAAGCCAGTTGTTAACTCCTGTCCAAGCAAGTCATGCGGGACGTTTTCGTTCACCTACTGCACAGAGACCACGCCCTGAAGGAGGAATTTCTCTCCACCGCAATGGGGCCAGACGTGTCCAAGGGGGATGCTCGCAAGGCTCTTCGTCTGAACGAGCCATGGGGCTCAATGGTGGAGCGCGTGGATGATTTGAAGGCGGAATGGCGAGAAAAGCTAGGTCCTGCGAATCTCAATAAACGTTTGTAGGGAAAATCATCTAGCTTTTCAGAAATTCCTTGCTAGATACGGTAGAAGGAAGGAGCCGACCTTGATGACGCTTGGGGGGGAAGGTACTTGAAGTCTACAGAAAATGCAAGAACAATGGTCTCTCTACTGTTTAGTCAGGTGACAGGCCTACTACTGTACACAGATATTAGTGATTGAAGGAAGAAAACAAGATATTATAACACCCTGTCTAATATAACATATGGTAATGGGTACAGTGTATTCTTGATAGCAATGAAATGATGGAGATCCACGCAACTGCGTGACATTGCTCGATTCAGCCCGATGTCTGACCACCCTGCCGCATTGAACAGCGCCTAGACATCATTTCCTGTAGCTTCCAAATTGTCTGGTGGGACCTTGGCTGAGCAATCGTCGGCCGAACACTGATTCTCCGAGCCGCTGGCAACGACATCACCGCTGGCTGTGGGTTCCGATTCGGGATGTCCCACTCCATACTTCGTTCGGAGAGCGTTCATCGTGATAGTGGTCAGTTGAGCTAGTGTATCGGCACCTGCCATTTCACTGACGCTCAGTTCAATTGCTAGGTTACGGCGGATCCAATTGCGAACCTCCACCGACACCAACGAGTCCACATGCACGGTCCCTAGCTCGTCATCATCCATCTCACCTGAGGAAGTATATGGTGCCACGGCGCGGCCGACTCGAACAAGAAGCGTCTGGTAGGCTTCTGGGCGATTTAGCCACGTAGGGTCCTTCTCTATCGATGATATGAACGTTTCTACTCCTTCTTCATGGCCATCGAGCGCCGTCTCTGGCCGCATGGCGATGTTGTCCCATCCTGCGACGCGGGCATCCCATGGCATAATAGATCGTGCCCCGATGTCAGCTTTCTTGCCTGTGGTCCCTAATCCAACGGCCAGCTGATTGGGTGCGTCGATCGAAGATGCAAGAACGGCAATCTCGACTGCTTTTAACACGTTCTGCTGGTTGAGCACAATGATGTTGCTTAATTGCGCGTGTTGTAGCATCGGTGACTTATTTTCAGCCGCAAACCCAATATCTCCAACTAGTCCGAGATCGATCACGCTCGCTGGTAAGCCTTGGGCCTGGCGGTATTTGACAAACGAGTCCAAAAATGTGTTTGCTGCCGCGTAGTTGGCCTGTCCGGCTGAGCCTATGATGCCTGCCATAGACCCGATTATGACAAAAAAGTCGAGCGTGGTGCTCTTGAATGCACGGTGCAAGTTCCATGCGCCCTGCACCTTCGACGGCATGACGGACGCCCACTCGTTGAAGGTCATCTGCGATAATGTCTGATCCTATTGGCGTGTGAGCAAATGTTTGATTCTCCTCTTCGCAGACTATTAACTTACCTTGAGCGTCATAGCCATGTGGACGATCCCCGCGAATGGTCGTGGAGATGAGTTGATCGCCCTGCAAACATCGTCGTGACTGGACACGTCTCCCTTGACGACAAGGACAGCACATCCAGCGGTGCTCTCGAGTTCTTGCAAAAAGGCCTTGGTCTGCGGGGACTCACCGCTGCTCCGTGACAGGAAGACCAGATGCCGAGCGCCTTGCTGCACCATCTTCGTTGCCACAGCCCGACCAATTCCGCCCAGCCCACCTACCAGAAGGTAGGCGGCGTCCGACCTGTAAACCTGACAGCCATCCTGCAGTTGAGATACAGGTAGCCTCGTATGCTGATCCGGTATACGGATCACAATCTTGCCCATGTGTTGCCCACTCTGCATGTAGCGAAAAGCTTTCTTGATGTCTGTGGCTTCATAGACAGTGACGGGACGAATTGGCTTAAGCTTTCCCTGGGCAGCATAGTGATAGAACTGGGCTCCAAGCATCTGCATTGCCTCCGGGCTTTCGTGAGCGAGAGAAACCAGATCAACACCGAAGAAAGCTCGGTTCGCCCCAAAATTGTGCATGTCTAGCTTCCCGTGGCCCATGAAATCACGCTTGCCGAGTTCAATCATCTTCCCGAAAGGTGCGACACATTTCCACGAAACGTGCAACAACTCTCCTGCCAGGGAATTCAGCACAATGTCCACTCCTCTATTCTTTGTCATTGCCATCACCCCCGACAAAAATGAAGGACTTCTCGAATCAAAAATATGGTCCTCCGGAATGCCATTGTGCTCCACCAGATGCTGCACTTTCTCTTTACTTCCGACGGTTGCAAAAATCTCGGCACCAATCATCTGGCAGATTTGAATTGCGGCCTGCCCGACACCACCACACGCAGAATGTATGAGGACTGTCTGTTGGGCCTGAAGGTTTCCGACGGAGATGAGGCTGTATATTGCTGTTGAAAAGATACACGGGGTGGCCGCAGCGTCCTCCAAAGAGTTACCTGGTGGAATCCTACTACAGAAGCGCACTGGGACAGTCACCCGCGTGCCCATTAGCCCCTGATATAGAACAGCGACTTGATCTCCAACTTTAAAATCGGCGACGGCTGAACCGATGCGTCTGACCACAGCACTCGCCTCAAGGCCTAGCTCTTTAGTTGAGCCCATAAGACCCATTGCAATCATCACATCCTGGAATAGTCAGTGGCGTGTCTTTTTGAAAGCACTGCATGGAATTGCTTACCCTAAAGTTCAGACCAACATACTTAATGTCAACCTCGACCTCTTCGGGACCCAGACGCTCAGATTGTATACCATTTATTGACCATGTCAGGGTGTCAAGCATGCCGGGAGACCCGATATCCAAGGATCTAGTCCCCATATCTGCGGGAACGCCTGCAAGTTGCTGATCGAAGGTTGTCCACTCATAACGCCCGACATATATGGTCCCATCTTTCAGAGCATATTCACAATCTGGGTCTTCTCTTGGACAGTCTATCTGATTCTGCAACTTCTCCAACACCTGTAAGACAGAGCGCGTGGCATGCGTGTCCATGCGGTCGATTTCGAGAGTACAGAAATTGAGTTCCATCTCCTGACGAATCGTCCGGGCGACTCCTAGCGCCAACGCAAACCGTGGATCCTCACATTCCATTTGGAGGGAATGGGTAACCCACAGGACAGTCTGCTTGTCCAAGCCGGACAGATAGCACTGGAAGACACGAAAGTTTTCAGGGGTCATGTTCGCAAAAAAGGCATCTTCAAGGTCGAGGAGTGAAATTATTTTTGAGTTCGGTTGGGGCGCCTGGTTTAGTGTATGCCAGTAGACACTGTAACCGCTGGACGAGAGCTGCCTCTCGAGCCTACGGCCCCACGGGTTGATATCGAAGTAGTAAAGCAAGCCAATAGATGCCCTTTGCTGCCCAGACTCACAGGACTGGGGCCGCGACAGCATGGAGGCAGTAAACTGATACGGCGCGTCGTGATCGAGTCTCACAATGTCAGTACCGCTAAAACCCGCATCAAACAGCCGGTCATTCCACTGATTGGGGGACAACGTCGGCTTTTCACGGCGTTCCTCTTCCTCCCCAGTCCACCAACCTGGAAGAACACCCATGATAAAGTCAATCCCGGGGACGACATTACAACCCTCCTGTAGTAGGAGATAACCACCTGGCGCAATGAGCTTGCGGGTGCTTTTCAGCGCATCGGCGATATTTGCCGCAGCATGGAGGGAGTTCGATGCAATGACCAGGTCATACGCATGCAGCTCGAATCCTTGTTCTTGCGGATCTCGACTGATGTCCAAAGTTCTGTACTCCATGCCCTGGTAGCCTTTAAACTTTTCTTTCGCCTTTGGTAGAAAGCCCGAAGAAATATCCGTAAACGTGTACTTGGAATACTGACGCTGGTTGCCGTGCGAAGTCAGCCCATCTAAAACAACGGATGTAGATCCGCCTGTTCCAGCACCGATCTCCAATACTCGAAGGCTGGGCTTGGAGTGACCTAGGTGAGACAGAAATATACTCCAGTCGGTGAGTAAAACCATCTGGCTATAAAGATCCGCCCATGCGTCGTCCTGCATGAAGAAGTCGATTGGACTAACCGCACCTTCCATTATACCCTGGGCGGCCAGGGCGACCCTTTCGCATAATTTTAGCCAAGCTATGCCCTCCCCCTCCATATCCTCTGTCAATCGGTCAAAATATGGTGTCTGAAATCCCAGTTCTACCAAACAGCATTCCCTCATTTCCGGGACCAAATCTCGTCCCCTCTCGCGAATCTTATTGTATTGACCGGCAATCCAGGTCTTGTACTTTGACAGGTGTTCCGAGGCAGGTACACAAGATTCTGTTCTTCGGTACATCTCCACAATGCACACGGTCACAAATCTTGCACACAGCTTTGCCCGATCCGAACTTCTGTCTATTTGGGGAAACAAATCCTCCACACGGAGGAAATCGATGTCAGGCTTCCACCACATCTGCGATACCAGCAAGGTCTGAGAGTCATCGGATTGCATGTCAGGAACACCCAAGAACCAACCGCGGTGCATTGATAAAACAACATCTTTTCCAGAGGTCATTGTGGCACCACCCATGATCGAGCCACCCACGCTGTCACAACAAGCGTGTATCGCTAATGGACCGGTGCTCGGGCGGACATGGAGGGTTTCAATTGCGGTCGGTAGACATAGTCGTGTTAATAGATTCGATAACCCATGCGACATAGCGACACTGAACAGCTGCAAACTTTGGTCGATTGAGATCGGGTGCAGGGCGTAGCTAGATTGCTGCTGGTCTTCAATAACCGCTGCCGCGTCGTAGCTCGACGTACTTGCGGTAATATGTTGAAGCCCTTTAAACGAGGGACCATATGTCAGGCCCCCTGTCTCCAACTGGCGGTACCAGACATCTGACTTCACGTGTCTAGGGTAGCTGTGAGATTGAATCTGTTTTCCGCAGGGGCTGTCCCCTATCAAAGGACGGACCTCACCAACACAGTGCTTTCGCCAGCGGCCGTCCTGATGTGCGCTTATGACAAATTCATACCAGGCCGAGTCAACATTATCGGCGAGCTTCGCCGGCCGCAGACTGGTTAGTAACTCAATAGGTGTGCCTTCTTTGATAACCAATGCGGCTCTGATAAAGAGGTTCTGTATTGTGTATCCGAGAGATCCAGATATCTGTCTGATGGCCTCTCCTGCCATTGCGATGTACCCTGCACAAGGAAAGATGACTTCGTGGACTACTCGATGATCCAGTAGCCACAGGGCATTGTCAAGGCTCAAAAGGTTTCTCCATATTGGCTCCAGATCCCCGGACTCTGGTGCTCGACTGCCCAGAAGTTCATGGTGCGGCTCTTTTCGGAGTCTCCAGTCGCATGCAATTCGGCTCTCGCTCCAAAGTCGCTCATCATGTTGCCAGCAATAAGGAGGAATATCGGTTACCAGTTTTCCTCGAGGCATTATCACTGGCAGCTGGATAGGCGCACCGTGAGCATACAGCCTGCCGGCGGTCTCCAAAACATTTCCCAGTCCTGATTTGCCTCTTTGCAGGGTGGATACATAAGCATTCTTCGTTTCTCCATCAGTTCTTATCATCTGGTTTATCGGACCGGAGAGCGTGCTGTGTGGACCAATCTCCAAGAACAACGTCGCTTCGTCATCGTCGACAATAGCCTGTATGGCAGTTTTGAAAAGGACAGGGCACCTCAAATTCTTACTCCAATATACGGCGTCTAATTGGGAGGGGTCATCAACACTTTCGCCAGAAACCGTCGAGTAGAGTGGGACCATAGACTCATTGTGAGATAGATGAGGAGCTATCAGTCTCTCATATCGATCAGCGGCTTCGCTCATATGGTGCGAGTGATAAGCCACGGCGACGGCTAGCTGCCGACATAGCACAGACTCGTCCTCTGCTTTGATCCTGTCCATTACACGAAGGATGACTTCCTCATCTCCTGAGAGGGTAACGCTCTGCGGACTATTTTCGCAGGCGACGATGATACCGGGCTCTAGATAAGGGCCAACTTGTTCCGAACTGAGACCGACAGCTAGCATGGCTCCTGGCACACTAACACACTGGGCAGCCTGACCCCGAAAGTAAGCAACGGCAATAGCGACAGTGACATCAATTGCACCCGAGGCATAAGCGGCCGCGATCTCGCCGCTCGAATGCCCTACCACCAATGTTGGTTTGATGCCCCAGTGATGAAGTAGGTTAACCAATGCCATCTGTACTGCCGTGCATAGCGGCTGCGATATCTCGGCTTCTGCCACGCGACTGGTAGTGTCGCTTTTTAGGAGCTCTTCTATAAGTATTTGTCAGCAATTCTGATGATTGAATAGAAGCTTTCTTTTTTTTGTCATCGCCCTTTTTCGTACTTACCTTCGATTGACCATCGAGGACCATTTTCCAATCCTTGCAAAATCTCGTCCATCTTCTGGATATCCTCGCGGAAGCGAGTACATCCTTCAATAAGATCTCTTCCCATGCCGGACCACTGCGCTCCCTGGCCATTGAATACGAATGCGATACGTGGGCTGGTGCATTGTGCTCGCCGAAACTCGGAGATGTCATCTTTGGAATGGACGATGGCAAACGCTCGATACTTCATGTGCTCGCGTCGCAAACCAAGGGTGTATGCGAGATCAACCAGGTCATCTTCGGTTTGTTGAATATAGCTCCTCATTTTTTCGATGTGGCTGTCAAGCGACTTCTTGCTATTCGCAGAGAGCAGCAAGAGTTGCGGCATCACTTTCTTGTCTGGTTTCGTAGGGTGAGCCTTGGTTGGACATGCGAGGGACGCCGAATCCAAGATAACCTGATATAGTTAGTCTTTTACACTCAGAATCGAATTATAAAAAGTCCATAGAGATCGTACGTGGGCATTGCTACCGCCAATACCAAATGAGTTTATACTGATCCTTTCGGTCTTTCCTTCCGGCCAAGGCATACCTTCGGCTGGGACCAACAAGTTTGCCTCCTCAAACGGGACTATATTGAGGGATGTTAGCATGCACATGCAACACATTGTGAGTATAACAAAGGGGAGGGAATGCACTCTTTGGGTTCGGTTCCGTGAAATGAACATTAGGTGGTATCATCTTCGCTTCCAGGGCCAGGGTACTCTTAATGATGCTGGTGATGCCGGAGGCGCCCTCGGAGTGGCCCACGTTTGGTTTTACCTTTAGAATGTCAATGAGTATCCCAGTGCTGTATATTATAAGGACCTACTGCGCCGATGTAAACGCCGGACTTCTCAAACACTCTTGCCACAGCGCAAGTCTCTGTCACGTCCCCAGCGGTTGTGCCCGTGCCATGGCATTCGAAATACGCCGTGTCTGAGATGTCGCAAATGCCTGCCTTTTTGTACGCTGCTCGTATTAGCCTCTCTTGTGCATCGACACCCGGCGTCGTAATGTTGGGGGTCCTTCCGTCGCAGTTGATCGCGGTGGAACGGATAACTGCCCGAACTGGGTCCCCGTCCCTCAAGGCATCATGGAGCGGCTTGATGAAGATGGCATTGACCGCCTCCCCGCGTCCATAACCATCTGCCTGAGCGTCGAAAGTTCTGCAGAGACCACTCTTCGACAAGACCATGTTATTGGACATACACGATGTCATAGACGGAGTGAAAATAAGATTCGTTCCAGTCACCAGCGCCGAAGAACATTCACCACTATGCAACGCTTGACAGGCCTCATGCAATCCGACTAGTGACGACGAGCATCCGGTGCGCAAGGTTATGCTCGGGCCTCCGAGATTGTATACATATGAGACCCGGTTTGCAAGGGCAAAGTCTGCTGACCCAATCACCCGATATCTGTCTGCGTGCTCAAGGTCCCTGGACTGGAGGTCTAGCCAGTCCTCCCCAAATACACCGACATAGCATCCAATCGGACGCGGACTGCCATCGACGGTGGTACGAGGTCGTCCAATTCCAGCATGCCCTGTCTGTCCCGCGTTTTCAAAGCACTCCCAGACGACCTCGAGCAGTATCCGTTGCTGGGGATCCATTTTCTCAGCCTCGGCTTTAGCCGTCTCAAAGAAAGCGTGGTCGAAATGCGCGATATCCTGCTGAAGGAAATGACCGTGCCTGGCGTGAATTGCGCCACGGTTCGTCTCGTGGTAAAAGGCGTCAATGTTGTACCGCGTCTCCGGTACCTCGCCCAGCCCATCGCGTTTGTTGATCAATAAATCCCAGAATTCCGTTTCAGAGCCGACTCCTCCAGGTAGGCGCATCGCCATTCCCACAACCGCCACTGGGAAAGGAGGTGTTCTCTCCTTGTCGATGTCAAGGTCCATATTTGCAGTCGTTCCGTCTTTGCAAAGAGAAGTTGACATTGTGGGGCCGTCAAATTAACTGCTTGGTGACTGAAATTTCACTACCGTGTGTTCCGTAAAGAAAGAGTCATTCTTGTCCTTATCTAGTACTTTATTCGGGACACCACATATATATATAGTTACCTTGGATGGATGGTCGAACTGCCCACGAATTCGTTAACGTTGTGATTATATATCTAGTGCGGCCGGAGCTGCATCATATTTGCGGCAAGGGGGCGAATATTTTGATGTATTATGCCAGTCCATTGACACTGAGAGTTGTATGATAGAGCTCCCCCTACTTGTCGGATGTTTCACCAACATGACAGCCCTCATAGACTACCAAGTTGACAATATGATAGCTGTAGCACGGCCAATTGCGTTACTTGCCTGTATCTCGCGTGACCAGTACAGTACATGCAGGAAAGACTCATAACATTCTGCGTTCTCTGGCGAGGTGCTGCAAATCTGGCCTATGTGGTGCAGCCAGCATGATCGCTGCAACTATTCTCTGAAAACATTTTCACATTTGCTGATCTTGTCAGATGTCATATATACAATATAGAATGAGGAAAGATACCGATGATATGATGGCATTGGTGAAATCTTTGAGAGGTGTCCAGGAAGAAGGTTGGAATATACAGAAGATGTGGTAAGGATAGTCATTGCTGTGGAGTCAGGTGACGAGTCGCCATTTGGTCGATTGCACCGTGTCTGGTAATATATCTTCTGCATGTCTCCTAGAAATTACTGGAATTGATCCATCTGCCCTTTTGCTCCACCTGCGCTAGGTCAAAAAGGGATTCTATAGACGGTGAAGACACATCACATTGCTTCTTCTAGCAGAGGTCACGGTCAGATCTCGGATCCACATGTTGATGGATCTACTGCATGTCCATCTATGACGCGTATTACATGTCCAGCATAAAGGTTACGGTCGATACTAGAGAGTTTATCTGCAGAATGACGCTGGTTAGATGTCCATGTCCACACAATGTCAAACCGTATCTCAACACCGGCTGTATCATGTGTATTTTCCGCCAATCGGAGCCCATCGTACTACATACCGTCCCACAGTTCCCTTCCACACGCGCCATACATATACATTCCGGGACCCATTAGCGACTAATACTCCCAGCCCTCTGTCTAGGCACCCCATGAATATGCTCTGAATACCTCCGTGCAAGGCCCTCCTGCGCAGGCTCAGTCTGCCCCGGAAATACCGGTGGACCGCCCAAACTGCCCAGCACGGCGCTATTATTCGCCGTCAAATCGTCCAACACGTCCAGCTCGCGCTGACTGAACCACTTCGGCAATGCCCAAACTCGGAGCGGGATCAGTGCGATAATCAGCACGGGGAAGCCTGCACGCGTATTCGAATTAGTCTGGGCAAGCCAGCCGGGAAGTGGAGGGGATAATCGAACCAATAGCGGCGATGGTCTGCGAGATAGCGACGCAGGCGGCAACGCCAAGAAGCTGACACGCGATAAACAAAGCGATCTTGCGGCGGCGGACGGTCAGGAGTGGATTGTCGCGCTGCACGAAGCGGTCCTCTAGCATGAGGAAGACGGCCTTTTGCAAGATGCCGTTGGACTCAATCGATCCCCAGCCGACGATGAAGAATACGCCTGCAAATACGGCTGTCGGCATAGTGTGCAGCACGATGAGCAGCGGGCCTGTCATAGTTCCGATGATGGCGAGGCCCATGACGAAGTGCGAGACGCGCTGCTCGACAACGCGCGTGGCGGCTGTTACGGGCCGGCGGATCTCGGTGCCTTCGCCTTCTGTTGTGGGGATAATGTGCAGGTCGGTTTCGTAGACGGTGAGACTGTCGGTGTGGACTGGGGCTTGGGGGACTAGACCGTTTGGCATCGGAACGCCGGTGATACCGGCAATGAAAGTCGTGCAGCCGAGGAGGAAAAAGTCCCAGTGGAAGCCGGCGGGCTTTTTCAGAGGGAACTGTCGGGCTTGGGCGCCTAGGCTGCTGACATTCTGGTCTTGTTAATATCTTCTCTGGCAATGTATGGTGCAGCAATTTATGGTGCAAATCCGAGGGAGAAGACTAACATGGTCATAATAAAAAAGAAGCATGGTCAAAAACCCAAACGGCAGCGCCGCGAAGATCCACTTCACATCCAGCTCCCAAAAGTGGATGAGCCAGCCCCGCGCCTGCGTGGGATAGAACGCGCGAGTCACCGGGACGAAGCTGATATCGGTCGACTTGAGGTTCCCAGGGAAGTGGGCAAATCCTACCCAGAACAGAGTCCCGATCTAAAATCTTAGTACGCCAGACCCGACACGCGAATTGCATATCTACAATCCGGTAGGAAAGCACACGTACAACGTAAGCATAGTCTGCCAGGAATCCCCTGACCCCGGGCCGCCACACGGTACTCGACCCCAGCTTTTCAAGCGCGTAAATGGTAAGGAAGTATAGCATGGCTATGACACAGCCCAGATATCCTGCGCTGTGGCCATGAGTATCAAACTCGTTCACCAGCTCTTCCACACCTTTGACTGCACATTGTCAGTATGCCCATCTCCTCCCTGTCTGCCTGTCTGTCTGTCTGTCTGTCTCCCTCATAGACAGCCAAATCACAATTAAAAGGGGGGGAACATACTACAATAGATAATCCCAACATACATCCCAAACGACTCGCTCGAAAAATCCGTCACGTAGCGCATATAGTCGCAGACATTACAAACCGCCACAGTCCAGTGAAAAATCGCGGCCCAGATAGCAGTCCAGCACATAAAGTTCGGATAAATAGACGGCTCGTACTGGGTTACAATATCGTAGATCGTGTAATTAAACAGCGATATCAACCCCGTAATACCGACAATAGTCAGCGGCTGCGCGGCAAACACACTGAAGATTATAGCGGCCAGCGCAGACGAGAACAGGCCCTCGTTGATGCCGTAGAAGTTGCCCGTCCGGCGGTCCATGTCGAGGGTGTATGCTATTGCGGGAAGGATGCTGCGCTTTGTTAGCTGTTGTGGTTGGGATGGCCATAGGGGCAGGGAGGGACGGACTTGACGAAATACATGCGCACGATACTGGCTACCGTGCGGTAGGTGAATGCATCCGTGATGTCGCTCCTATAGTAGGGAAGTCTTCTGCGCACGTCGTGATACATCCCCCGGCCGAGACGGAGGATGCGCACGCTCTTCCATCCTTGGAGACCGTCGTAGGTGTATGTCTTTTCCCGTTCAAGGGGGATGGAGTGGGTAGAGGACGAACCGGACATGATGGGTGGGTTGTCGTCTATAGCCCGTCGTATATCGTTGTGAGGAGAGTGTATGGGTAAGGGAAATGTGAAGGATGATGTTTTTTTTTTTATTTTTTTTATATCTTTTCTTTTCAGCAAGCTAAAGCAGTGGCCAGCAACCCTCGGTTATGAGGCCATGCCGAAGGGATGACACAGTAGGCCAAACGTGAGGCAATTGGACAGAACCATCCTGACTATATCACCTGTGTTTTATGTATTTCCTGTAGTTGCACACACCTCTATATTGTTTAGATTGAGTAGTTGTATATCATAGACACGCTCCCCTATATCTTGCACATAAATATGTTGCCATGGTGTAATAGACTTGCCACATAAAACAGATGCGCACTGATTGGGCGGTGGATTCTGCCCGCGCAGAATGCCATCTCCACTCGCGACATCCGAATTACGTCACCCCATAGACAACAATGGGGAGAAACTATCCACTTCATGAAATTGGCATTGGCATTGGCTTGTATCAAAATTGTCAATCATAGTGACGCTATATGGATAGTACATTTTGTAAGATTAACTGAGAATCATCTACCTGTTCGCTCCAAGCAATGTGGTCCATATCTATATTATCTCGCGCTCCGGAATCTAGATATAACGCCCTACGAGGTGTCACCGCAAATTAACCCTCAAAGGATCCTGCCCTCTTCCCCAGAAAACGACAACACAACTCCCCACAAAGACACACTTTATCCAAAGAACTCCAATAATGATCCGAGTAGTCCACCGTGATCTCACTACCAGAAAGGACACCACGCGACACAACCACGATGCGCTCCGACCCGCGCCAGTAGAACCGCTGGAACTGGCTATTCGGGTTACAGGAGTGGTTGATAAAGCGAGTAAAGTTGCCTATCACGATATATCAGCGCTGCAGCCACAATACGGACAAGACATCACCGTACCCATTTGCCCTTGGTAGATCTGGTAGCGGTGTGATTCTGATCCGCCTATCATTACGTCCTGACCTTCAATGCCGTTGGTGATTAGACCGATGAACTCCCCGATTGCGGCGCCGCGTTCGAAGTCCTGGGTTTGTCATTGAGCTTTCTCCGGGTAAGGAACAATGGGTCCTATGGAGGCGACTTACCCGACGAGCTACAACACCGTTATTCTTCCCGTTCTGGGTACCAACAAGCTGGACTGCGCTGGGAAGTCTAACACAGCCAAAGAGATCCGGAAAGCAGCTGCACCTGTTGAGGGTAATATTATCCGACTGTCGCTCTGCGCATGTCGAGCAGATGTCAGGGTTAATCTGCGGCATCTGTCGCGGATCGCGCCCACCAAACATGTCCTGATTAATTACCGACTTATCAATGAACTGATAGTCGAGCTCCTCCATGCCGAGGTGTCTGTAAGTAGACTTCAAAGGCTGTGCGAGATGGCTGTCCATAATCACCCACTCGTGCGGATGTCCGGTGTACCGGGGCGGGGACGCTTGGCCGACTATACCGAGTAGCTGCCGCCACTGGGGATGGAGGGTATCGGCAGCTACTTCAAAGCTCTGTCGCAGGTGACGTAGTCGAGTTGTCAGTCCTTCCTTGAAGCCAATGCGGTATTTGCAGAACCGGTATACCCCGGACCCAGCGAACACGAGGCTCGGCCATCCGCCGGCTTCTTTGATCTCCTTGTATCCGCGCCAGATCCCTCTTGTCATACATTAGCACGAACAGGGAGGAGTGAGTCTGGGGCGTATATCACGTACAATCTATTTCGAAGCTCCTTTTCCGTCAGCCGTAG